CCCCTCCGCCAGGGGAGAGCCCGAACCGCCACCCCTTCCCCAGTAGATAACGTTTCACCCCCGTCCCGTCCCGGCCCGGCCAGGGCGAGGAGAGAGAGGGGCAACTTTACGGTGGATGGGCGAGAGTCTGTCCGGCCAGCCGGGCCGGGCCGGCCTGGGGGGGGCGGACCACTTGCTTTATTTGTAGGGCCCCGCCACCCTCTCCAAACACGCGAGCGCGCGCCGCCGTCCGTGTTGTCTCAAGCCTCGCTTTATACTCTCTGCCCGGCAATCAAATGAACTACGCGGCCGCGCGGCCGGGCCAGAGGCGGCCGCGGGACTCTGTGAGGCTGCTCGGCGGGGTCGCTAATGAAACGCTGCTTGAGTGGAGTGAGAGGTGGTGCGAGTGAAGCCTCCCGCCACCGACGCGCCGCCTCCGCGGCCGCGGTTCTCGGAAGCTGCTTCGCTTTGTCGCCTCGCCCCCGCTGCCGCTGTTGCTGCTGCTGTCACCGCTGTCTCCGGCTTTCATCGAGCCTCTCGTCGTCGTTCGTCTGCCGGGCCGACGTGTCGCCAGGGTTGAGCGCGGGGGCGCGGGGTTGAACGCGCGGCGCTGGCGGAGGATAGAGGGACGGCGGCGGCGTCCTGACGACGCCTGGACGCCCGCGGGCCCGCGGCGGCAGCACCGAGAAAAAGGACCACATGGGGGACGGAATTTCGAGATGCGCGGGAACCAGGCAAGGGCACAGAGAATAATCGGAGCGCTCAGACGAAATGCAAAGCGCGGCCTCTCTCTCTCAGCTCTCCATTGTGGCTGTTTGACTCGAGGGGTCAGTCCTTCGCCGCCCCCGCCGCCCCTCCTCCTGCTGCGGACGGCGCGGGGGTGTTTTGTGGCGCAGCCTCTGCAGTGGCGCACTGCCCGCCCGCCGCCTGTCGCCCCCGCTGCTGCTGCTGCTGCTGCTGCTGCTGCTGCTGCTGCTGCTGCTGCTGCTGCGACGGCGCTCTCTTGCAAATGCGCACGTCAGTCCTGCAGGGAGGACCAGCTGGAGAGCAGCAAGAGGACGGTAGGCGGACGGGGGGCCGGCAGTGAAAAGGGGCTTTTCGTATATGAGATACGCATACTTTCCGCTGACGTAACATTAATTTGTCACCGCGGGACAATAAAAATAAATCCTCCGTGAAACTGTTTAGTGCTGTTTACGTGTAACTTGCTGGGAAAGCGGTACGGTCGAGGTCGTGCTCGTAAGGGTGAGGTTAGGACGGCGGCGTTGTCGAGCACTTCCGAAGCACCGCGTCGGCACCAGCTCCTTCTAGTGGTTCACAAGACGCGTACTGTCGTCGTAGTCACAAAGGACGGGATTCGCCCGAAATTGAGACTGCTGAGGAGGGGAGGGAAGGCCAAAACGTTCCAACTTCACAATCGCCCCGCAAGAGCGCGCCACCTTCTAGTGGTTCACGAGACGCGAGCCGTCACTCAGATCACGGGATTCGCCCAAAATTGTGACTGCCGAGGATGGGAGGGAAGGCCAAAACGTTCCAAACCTCTCAATCGCCCCGCCGGAGCGCGCCACCGCCTCGCCTCCCTCGCCTTGGCCTCCGTGAACATAGAAAACAAAAGCAGGTGTTTCATCATGGCGTCGCCACGATTTGATCTTTGCATTTATCATCAGATAAATAATTCGGCGTGGAACACTTCGAAAGCAGTTGGCGCTGTTCTCGGATTCGGATAATCATCTCTCACAAGTTTTGCTTCGTTATCCGTGGGATATTACATCGTCTTTCGGTTGCAAAAGGTTTTGCTGTTACCATATTAGCCGTTGAGGTTAGGGAGGTATACTGTACTTCTCCTACGGAAACTTGCATCCCTTTAATCCTGTTGCACAAGTAAGTTTTTACCTGCAGGATGAGGCATCTGGTGCCTATACTAGATTGCAAACATTTTGAAAACTGCTCATTTGTTTAAATTGTGTCAGGCCTTTGCGCACCTCAGTCCTACCCAGTCTTTGATAAATGTGTGAGCTTTGAAGGTAAATTTTCCAAGCCCCTTCTTTAGGTTTCTGCCGTATACAAAATCCTATGACTCAATCAATTTGTGAGATATAATTTGAAGTTCCAATGGAGCAAATAGTTATACGCTCAGTTTTAATAGTTAACTGTTACTTGCTCACTATTATAAAGTACGATATAATACAAAACCTTATTGATAACTCCTTATATATTTCAGAAGCTTTCTTAAAACCATGAAACATTTAAAACAAATGTCTTCAGAAGTAACCGTTTAGTATTTTACAAAGTGGCACCTTTCTATAATGGTTGCGCAAAATGTTTGGTGTGTTGCAATCTTTGTGATACAACACAGATTTGTGTATGTGGGAAGCGTGTTTTTCTTGTTTTGTTTTTGTTTCCATGTGACTAACTGTTCTGACTCGTTTTGTTTTCCTCGTGTGTTGCAGGAAGATGTTCATCGGCGGGCTGAGTTGGCAGACTAGTCCAGGTGAGTCCAGGACGCCAGGTTGAAGTGACAGCAGGCCGCCGGCCGGCTCATCGCGCCGAGCGCTGCCGCTTGGCTGTGCCGCCCGCCAACCCCTTCTGCGGAGGATGTCGAGAAGTCAATAGAGCTTGCAAATCGGGCATAGCGCGCCGGGCCGGCGTTGAGCGTGGCTCAGCGTGACGGGGAGGAGGGGGCGCGCCGGGCCGGCGGCCTGCGCCATGACCTGGGTCACGGGGTGGCGAGGGTGCCCCGCGGGTCGCCTCCTCTCCTCCCAGTTGCCCCGCAGCACCGCCTCGCCCCGCCGCGCTCGCGTCCCTGTCGTCACGGAGGACAGCCAGCAAGCGGATCCGGGCTGGGGCTGGTCTCTGGGGGATCCGGGGAAGTGGGCTGGGGAAGGCCATGGATGCTCTTTCGCTGGCTTTGCTGTGTCGAAAAGTAGCGCTTTTTGCCTACCCGGGAGGGTGTCCACCCCGGCCCCGGCCCGGTCTCTTCCCCCCTTGCTGATTAATCAGGCGTGACCGAGGAGCCATTAGCGCGAAAAAGCGTCTCGGTATAAATCCTTTTTGCTCCTCGGCTTGATTTCCGGTTCGAGTTTCCGCCCGCCTTTTAAAGGTTTTCGCGCCGCCGGCGGCTTCTGAAAAGTCGTCTGTTTCATCGGCCAGCAGAGGGCCTGCCGCGGAATATAATTGTGCGGATGTCGCGGCACGGTCGGGCGCGGGGCTCGTCGGTCTAGGACCGGCCAGGAGGAGAGATTGAGCCCGGGCAGCGTGTTAGCGCGCGGGCACTAAGTAGCCGGCCGGGCCCGCCCATGGGCCCGCCTCGCACCTGCAGCTGGGTCGTTAGCGAAGGCCCGGCAGATGAGCCCACCTGCGGATGGGGCGCCCCTAAATCAGTAGAGTTTGTGGCGGAAAAAGCGAGCGAGGTGGAGTGGTACAATTTTGCTTTGTGGCCGCAGCCACTTCCAACCACTCATCACGCCGTATTTAGTCGCAGCATTTCACTTTTTCCGTCCGACAGGACCTGGTCGCCACTCCGCCCGCCCTGGCCGGCGCGCGCGGGTGGTGTCCACGTCCACCGACGCCACGCCGGCTGCAGTTCGCGCCGACTCGTGCCCCCCTCCCCTTTGGGACTTAGGCCCCTTATGGCTTCACACAGCTTGACTGCTCGCCCTGGGCTCTCGGCCCCTCTGGCCGCGCTACTCTACGTATACACCAGACTTGTGCAACCTAGCGAGCCTCCTGCGCAACTCGAAAGGTTTTCCTTCTTACGCTTCGTCGTGGTGTCGGTCGAGGGGGTCATTCCGTGGATGCGATGCGCGGTCGTTGGGGGAGAGGTGGGGTGGGGGGACGAAAGTAATGGCTGTGCTTTGGGCGGAGGAGGCTGTCCATCCGATGCGAAACAGAAGCCAAGGCAGCAGCAGCCTCTGGTCGGGACATGAGCTCTCTCTGAG